AGCAGGTGTCCAGCTCCCACCAGCCCATCCCCAACTTCCATCCCAGAGCCGACCCCTGCCCCTCCACCAACCCCATCTTCCTCTGGAGCCATGTGAATGGCCTGGTGCTCCTCTAGGTCTGTCCGTGTGCCAAAAGTGTGGCTGCAGCTGCCACAGCTGTACAAGAGCACACTGGCTCCGGTGTCTGTACTCAGGTGAACCTCTGTCCCAATGGCTCTAGATGTGCACATGTTCTCCCCAGAAGAAGTGAGGGTGAGCTGGGGGAGAAGGCCTGGATTCTGGCCAGAGGAAGTGGTTGACAGGAACACTTCTTCCATCCCCACCCCAACTCCATCAGTTCCTTCCTGGCTCACAAATCCCACCATGTCTGTCAACATTGATGATGTCACTTCCTCTCCCCCCACCACCACCTCCACTACCTCATTTCTCTTCCTTGCATCCTCGCCCCTCTTTCCCTCTTTCCCACCTGCGTTTAGGTTGGAGTGCGAGTTCTTGTGCAGGGCCAGGTTTGACGAATGAGTAAAGCTTCGTCCACACTCACCGCAGATGTAGGGCCTCTCGCCTGTATGTATCCTCATGTGCTGCCTCAGGTTGGTGGACTGCGTGAAGGATTTGTTACACACTGTGCAGGTGTAAGGTTTGAGACCGAGATGGACATTCTTGTGTCTCCGCAGACTGCTCGAGTTCTTGAAGGCCTTCGGACAAGTGTCACACGGGTATGGGCATTCTCCTGTGTGTTGGCGCAGGTGATACTGGTAGTGAGAACTCCATTTAAAAGTAAGGGGGCAGTAGGGACACAAGAAGGTACGCACTCCAGTGTGGACACTCTGGTGGACCTGGGCAGAAACCGATATGGTGAAATATCTCATTTGTAAACATTGAAAAAAAACAAACAAACAAAAAAAACCTTTTTTGGCGTCTCACCTGGAGAAGAGAAGAGCGTTTGAAGGCTTTGCCGCAGTCCTGACATTTATAAGGCTTCTCCCCTGAGTGTGACCTGCAAAATAAAGGTAACTATTCAGGAGGAAAACATGGTTAATCATATGACATCATTATTTGTGCAAAATACAATCAAACCCATATCTAAGTAATTTCTTTTGCTATGCATCGTATAGTATAACATCTTGTTTTATGTCAGAAATTAGCTCTTTATTTTACATTGAAATTTGCCTTTTTGACACTTTCCATCAACCTGACTGTGGCCCGATTTAAGATGTGAAAAAGGAAGGCTGGGAGGTGCTGGTTAGATTGTATGTCTTCCTGCTGATATTCAGTCCTCTTCTCATTCATTCCCTAATCACTCACTGCTTCTGATTAATCTCCTGGTCAGTTCTAGTAAACTGGGTTTATTAAATATTGTTTACATGACATGCTATTCCTGTATTCCTGATCGCAGGAATTAAAATATTAATGGATCTGTATTTTAGCTGTAGAAGCCAATTGACTGCAGAACGTCTTCTGTATTTGAAATGTACATCATCGAGTTAGATATGAGATGGCGAACATGAAAACACCATCAGGATTGAAACAAAGACGTAGCAGACAATTCTTGAATCCCCTGTTATAGAGTTAGTCCATTAGGGTTTTTGGACAGCGACATAATTTGGTATTTTTGCCTCTGTACACTTCCACGGTGGATTTTAACTCGTGATAAATTAAACAGATAAAATATTTGGAGTTGATCACAAGTGCTGAATTTGCACTTCGTAGCTTTTCACTGGATATCCTAATAGAATAGGTTCAAAGAGATGGCGATGGAAGTGAAGGAGGCCATCATTAGACCGAAACGAATAAAATAAATCTGATGGATTAAATAAACTTTGGGAGTGGCCAAATCAACAATTTTGTTCATTCTTCAAAAGAAGGAATGCATTGGCCAACTCAGTAACACCAAAAAGCCTGAAAGAAATCCAAAGCCAGCTAAAGTTCATGATGACAGAATTTCCATGGTTACAAAAACAACTTCACAACATCCAACCAAGGAGGTGTGTCATTGTCAAAGTCCACAATCATGGGATGCCTTTATGAACAGAGCGTTCACAACAGGGTGCAAACCCCTCATTACACTCAGGAGGTCACATTAGATTAAAAAAAAAAAAAAAAAAAAAATCTAAATGAGCCTTCACCATTCTGGGGAAAAAAAAACCAACCCTAGATGACACTGAGAAGAAGAGAAAAAGCTGTGATCTGAGGTTTACCACATTATCTGTAAAACATGGTGGAGGAAATGTTATGGGATGAGCCGGTGTTCTGGGAATCCATCCTACCTGACAAACCATCCTATTCGTTGTTTGTGCGCATGCGCACAACATGAAATTAAGTGGCGAACCGTCCTACCTTTGTGAATGTGACCTACAAGCATACTTTAACAGCTAAAATTTAGTCGCAAAACGTCCTACCTTTGTTAATCTGAGCTAGAAGCATATTTTAACAGCTAAAATTCAGTGGCGAACCATCCTACCTTTGTGAATATGAGCTAAAAGCATACTTTAACAGGTAAAATGAAGTGCCAAACCATGCTATCTTTGTGAATGTTACCTACAAGCATACTTTGACGGGTAAAATGAAGTGGCAAACCGTCCTGGCTTTATAATTATGAGCTACAGGCATACTCTGATGGGCAAAGTTAAGTGGCAAACCATCATACCCACTTAAATTTGTGCTGGAATTACTCTGTGACAGCAGAAATATGCATAAACTACTTACGGTAGGACATTTTCCCAAAGTAGGATGGTTTGTCAGAATACCGGGTCACTAGTGTTTATTGATAATATGACTGCTGATTGAAGAAAAAGGGTGATTTTTTTTTTTTTTTTTGCTTAGCAGACTCCACCTTTGGCAAACATATTTAATGAGGACACATTGAGATGTGCAGGTGAGGGAGGTTAAATGACTAAATTTGTTAGTGCAGAACCGTATTAGCCTTAAAAGACAAAACTGTAACAGTATCAAACTTAATGATATAACGGCCAAATACGGATATCGGCTGATATTAGCCTTGTTGACTCATACCAACATATATGCATTTACATTTGCCTTTTGTGGTTTTTTGGGGTGACTAAATGTTCAAACATAGCATAAAGAGCAAGGAGATGCTGATCTTTTTATGAAACACAGTTTTGGGTTTGTTTTTTTTACTCCTCCTGGTACAAAGACTGGAATTATTAACAGAAGAAAACAAACTGGAAAACATCACTGGTATCTGCTAACAGCTAAAATGTTCAATTCAATTTTATTTATGTAGCACCAAATCACAACAACAGATGCTTTAAGGTGCTTCATATTGTAAGGTAAAGGCTCTACAAAAATATAGAGAAAACCCCAACAATCAGATGACTGCCTATGAGATAGCACTTGGTGACAGTGAGAAGGAAAAACAACCCTTTAGCCGGAAGAAAGCTACAGCAAAACATTATTTTAGACATCAGAACTGGTCATGAACTTCCTAATATGTGAATCCTCAATATTAATATAATTTTAGTGTGGGTACCGTTGGTGATAGAGCAGAGCAGAGGAGCCCTTGAAGGCCTTGGGACAGAGGTTGCAGCGGTAGGGCCTTTCATTGTTGTGGCTCCGCAGGTGGTGGGTCAGCCTGGATGACCACCTGAAGCTCTTGCCACAGTCCAGACACTGGAAGGGATGATCCGTCTGCTCTGGCTGCGGGACTGACCCGGACACTGACGATGACACCATGTCCAGAACCACTTCCTCGCCACCTTCTACTCCCCCTTTTTCTCCCTCCACCAGCTCCCCTCTCTCCCGTTCATCCTCGCCATCCTCCCCCGAACCAAGAAGAGACGGGAAAGGTGAGAGGGACGTGGTGGACTGAGCTGGCAAAAGCTCTGCTTGGACGACTAGGGCCACTGAGTTGGCCATTACCAGATCAACCTGGTGGCAGATGATGGTTTTCCTTAGAGGCAGAGGGGTGGGTGGGATCAGTTTGTGTGCGGCATCATGGTTTTTCTTTCATCTTTTCTTCTGTGCCTTCATAAATTCCTTCCCTGCTGGCCACTGTAGCACCAGCTGTCATCCCAAGCAGTGAAATGAGGGCAAGTCTGAGATAAAAGGAGATGGAAATAAATACAGTATTACAACATTATAACAGTTGGTACCAAAGCTCCCTTTAAATTTCCCTCCCTCCCTCCCATCTCTGAAGCTGGTCCTCCCTCCCCGCTGTCTTTCCTCCGGCCGTCAGTCCGTGTGCGCTGTATCTCCACACTGGCGCACGGTTTCTGTCCTTCCCCGCAGTGCGGTGCTTGTTAGCACCACAAACCAGCGGCTACAGCAAAGTTACACACCGAGCTACTCTATAACTGTCCCAATGTCTTCCGACGAGCTCTTGCAATCCAGCAGTTAAAGCAGACACACACACAGATTCTTTGGCGAATTAACAAAAACAGTTAGTGGCCTGCTTTTAAAGCTAACCAAGCCTCCGGCTCAGTGCGGAACAGCTTCTTTTAACTGCTCGCCATGAATGTGCATGAATGCGGGCTGAGGCCGTACTCACCGCGGGTACTTAACTCATCTTAAAGCTATATTGTTGATCATATGAAAAGAAACTGGGTGCTGCAGTGCTAATCCACACAACCTTAACAATAAACACAGCACAAACTAACAGCAGTTCTCCACCCAATGCCGCCTTTCAAGAACAGCGGCAGCGATTGGCTGATACGTACAATAGATGAGCTACTCCCATTGGCTGGGGGCTTGAACAGACAGGTTGACGTTCTTACCAGAAAACATTTAGAAAATCAAAATTTGGCGTAAGCTAGTTATTAGTAAAGGATCCATACTCCAAGATGCTCCAAATTAATCTAAAAGCTTTTTTCACATTCGAGCTCAACATTTATCAGTTTTTGCCTCGACTCTTCTGCACAGACTGTTGGGTAATGTAGTTTCTGAGTGTGCACCCCCTCAAAAAACGTCCATCTGTCACACAGTTCATATTACAGGTGTGGTAGTAGGCCACGCATATTTAAAGACACACAAAAACCAGTGTGCACATTCTGAAGTTTTTATTTCACCAAGGCACATATTTCACATTGAGGCCAATTAGTGTGTGTAAGAGGCATTTTGATGTTACAACAATAATTTAAACGTGATGGTATAATAATAGCGAATAAGAATAAAAACTGTATAAAAGTACAAAAGGACAGGAGACTTGCTCCACTGCAGCACAAAATAAATAGTTCCACCAAGTTACTTAAATAAATAGTCAATACTGTAACAAATACTAGAATAGGAATGAATGAAAATTATAGTGATAAAATTGGTCATCTACAGTATGTTGTAGAAAACGACATAATACACAAAAGCACTGTATACAACATTTACATTCTTGTACATTTATGTACACCTGTACAGAACATAGTGTCACAATACATAGTATTTTAAGGCTTTGGGTGTTTAACTAAAAACAAAAACAAAAAAATCCCCAAACTTTTCTACACCAAAGCACAGGTTCAAAATCAGCCATCCCACTCTTAGGAAGGGCCAATCCCGACAAGTTTGTGCAAAGAATCTAATCAGAATCATCAGTGCTTAGCAACAGGGCACATTCATATGACTTTACCACAATGTTAACTACGCCTCCACGTGCAGAACACAAGGGAAGCAGGCACTGAAAACACAAATGTGACTGTGGTACAAAAGAAAGAATTCGCTTTTCTTCAAATACCATCCTAACGTGGAAGAAATAAAGTAAAATGAATTTGATAAGGAATTGATAAATTAATGTGTCATGTGGAATATTTTACCATGGCTGGAGATGACATTATGAGCTTTTGAAACGTATACTTTAAGGGCCCTATAAATAAGGAATAGTGAAGGCCTAGGCTGCCCCAAATGCATGCTACATCTACTGGAAGAATTATCATCTGAAGAAAAATAAAAATGTAAAAGTAAATTAAGCTGATTTATACAAATGTCATTATCAGAGCTATCAGTTCAGGAAGTGCTACAGTGTTTGTTTTTTGTTTTTTGTTTTTGTTTTTGGGTTCAGTGAGACACAAGAGAAAGGGAAAGATTACAGAAATGTGGGCAAATGAGTTCACGTTAGTACAGAAATAAGATAAATAAATAAAAATTAAATAAATAACTAACATTCAATAAATAAATAAATACATAAATAACACGGTCATGACATGACGGTTTCTTGACATAATCATTGGAGTTAAACTGGAACTTGAGCTGGAATCGATGGTTGTAACTGGCTGCATTGTGGTGCATCCTCAATGGCTCTGATGGAAAGACACATTCCTCAACACACATGCTGACACACAGGTTGATATTTGGGCCTCTTTAGGGATGCTGTCAACTACAGTGCACACTGACATGGTCTTGTTTCCCTTTTGATGGGGACGGAAGTCCATGTATTCTCACTGGCTCTGCAGCCCCCTTTTACTTTCTGTATCATCATTGGACTGCAGTGACCTTGGGCTTAAGGCTGAGGAAGGCTCTGTACGCCCAGTCACAGAAGAGCTTGAAGTGCTGAAGAAGCTCATTGGTGGACTGCAGGACATCAAACTGATAGGGGAGGTGAGGGGGGAGGGAGGGGGTCGCCGGACTGAGCCTTGGTGCTTCAACTCTCAGCATCTGTGGAGGAGAAGACGGGCAAACACACGGATTAGAAAGCTCAATCACAGCGGCGGTGGCGCGCGCTGAGAATCGAACAGACAAACTCAGCTCCTCACCTGACGGTGCAGCAGAGTGATGAGAGATTTCATCTCTCTGATCATCTCCACCAGCTTGGGCACTGCAGGGTGGTGGTGCTTCTTCGACACTCTGTTGAGCCACTCAAAGTGGTGCTCGTACAGCTTCAGGTCGGAATGAAGCTGTGAGAGCGTGGGCTTCAGCTGGAAACAACGCAAAAATACTTCAGAGACTTAGCATGGGAGTGTCGAAACAGGCCAGCTCCCCGCCCCCCTCTCTCTCTTTCTCGCCACATGCACACACACAAATACATTATCAGAGCATTACCTCAAGATTGTTGAGGTCATGGGCTGATCTGTTGCTCATTTCTGGCAGAGACTTGAACCTGTGGGGCTCCACTTCTGAGTCAAATGCATGCTCCTTCTGAAAGAGAAAACAAGACACAGAGCAGCCCCTTAGCAATTTACATCAGCGCAATTTTACTCATCCTGAAACAAGTCACGGCAGCATGAGGAAAGTATTAGTCTAGCATCTTGATTGGGTGCCTGTTTTCTGCACTTAGAGACAGTAGCTCTCACTGAGGGGAGTGTGGTCGATCGGGTCAGTGTGAGTTCACCCACATTCAGCCTCCCCAAATGTCAACAATAAGAGAAAATGAGCTGAACCCACAGGATGTTTTCTGCTGGGAGTGTGGATAACAACATACGCAGTGACTAAGAAAGCTCCAAGTGGGACAGACAACACAGGCCTGCGGGGAAACTCCAGGGTCACAGCTATAAAAAGAAAGAATGACGCAGTGCCGCTGCCCAGCTCAGCCTGTGTAGTGCCCACTTTGACCAGCAGAGGGGGATAAACAACCTAATGCCAGGTTTATGGGATTCTGCTTTGGAAGGGCAGCTGAGCTCATCAGTAGTGCAATTTAGTATTAAAGACGTAGGCCTATTTTAGTAATGAATAGGGACAAATAGAGATGAGTGAAGTGGTATGCGTCATTTCTAATCAGCAGAGGAACATAACAACATTAGAATAATGATTGCTGAGAAATGTTTTGTATAAACAAGTTGAGTGCGCTTATTGCTTCCTTAACCTGTTGTTCTGTGCTTCCCTTGCATTACTTGTTGTTCGCTTCCACTTGTTTTTGTTGATGTTTTTGGAGATAAATGTCCTGTATTGTCTCTCCATCAGCCCTTTATAAGAGCTCACTTATGTCTGTGGTCCAATGTTTTGTCTCCGCTGCCGTTTTCTCCCCTGCTGTACCTTACTTCCCCCGTCCCTCGCCTCTCCCTGTGTCTCATACCAGGTGCACAGGCACATGCAACATGACGTGCACATGTGCATGCATGCACACACACACACACACACACACACACACACACACACACACACACACACACACACACACACACACACACACACACACACACACACACACACACCACCGGCTTGTCATCTAGTTGTTTCTCTGATCTCTCTTCATCTCTTGTGGTTTTTGCACCATCTTTCTCAGCCTTTAATTCTGCCTCTTATCCCAGTTTCTCTCGCTCTCTTCATCCCAGACCATGACCTCACCCGACAGAACCTAGCATCCAACCTTTTTCTTCCTGAATGCAAATACTGGAATGTGATAAATCTTTTTGATTTTTATCAAGTCACTTTGCTGTGGCGACCGAAAGCAAAACACTAAACACCGCACCTACACTACCACGGCTATTTACAGAGCCCTCAATGCACACACACACGGCCACAAAAATGCATACAGACAAACGCATGCACACACGTATACACATTTGTATGTATGCAAGTGTGCACAGACTCATACACAGGCACACTGGAAAACCTGGGCCCATATAGAACTATGTTTATACACATACGCACATTTCTCCCTCTTTAAAGCATCAGTTTCATTGCTCTTTTGCAGGGACTTTCCATGGATTCCCATTCTATTTATCTTTCCTAACTTTGTCCTCTTTTTAGTGGAATTCCACACAAAAAGGGGGGGGGGGGGGGGGGGAATTAAAAATAAATCCCCAGTGTTAGTGAACACTGTCTAACACTGTTTCGGATGCCCTTTGATAATCCTGGTGTGCTCACATCTGGATTTCAGATAGTGATGCTACTACACAATGACTATAACATTATTTCAAAGCACAAACACAAACACACACGCAAACACTTTCTCAACACTGCTGGACAAGACTAGAGAGAGTATGTGGCTATTTCTAATTTTATCTCCTGAACAAAAGAGTTTAAAGATTTGCATAATGCAAAAATAGAATCAATATCAGCCATGTGTAACCAAAGATCCAGAGATATGATGCCGTTTTCTTTTCACCTGTTAAAACACAGTGTTGATACACAATCACCTGTCGGATCCAAATCTTGTCTAAGTTCTCAAATCTGATTTCCCTACTAACTCGACTGTCATCGCAATAGGATTTCGGGCCAGACTTGTCGCATTTAATTGGGGAGAGAAGCTCAACACTTCACCAACCGCCGACCATAAACATGTTTCTGTGTAAACAAGCATGCGATACACGCTGCTGTCATTTCACAGACGGCGTGCTTGGCTGTTTTTGTAGCTGGATGGAGGTAGATTTAATTTCACTGCACCTCCACTGGCACCTTCTTTGTCACCAAGTCTTAATGCAACCGCCACCAGGGGAGGTGACCAGGCACACCGGCATGCTGCTGAGTCAGACCGCCTCTCCCGTGTGGATTAAAAGTGAGATCACTGAGTCAAATCCCCCCCGAGACGTTTGTTGCCCCGTGTAAGCATGCAGATGGACTCGTGAAAGCAGCTTAAGGTGGACTAAAGCCCCGAGCAAACCTGGTATGCGTTTGCACAATAGTGCGTGATGCAAAGTGGGTGCAGTTTAATGTGTGAGGTTACCTAAACCGAAAGCTAACATTAGCACCCAAATCCAATTAGTAAAAGATCAGTCTGTGGTGTAATGACCAGCATCGTCTTCCAATTCAATTAGCACGGGGTGGTCAGGGCCTCGCAGCCTCCACTCCCGATGTCAGAGGCTGATTGGTAAACCTAATGGTCTTGAGGACAGCTTCATCACTTACCAGCAGTTCTGTGGTGAGTTTCATTAGATTTTTGGTCTGATTGGACAGTTTATCCAAGTCACTGGGTCGCCGCTGTGGCACCGGAGAGGCAGACGTGAACACGGGCAGCTGAGCCAATAGCAGCGAGAAGAGGAGAGATGAGGAGGAGTCGAGCAGCACTGCAGGGGTAGAACAAAACGGAAGCAATTAGTGGAGAGGCGCTGTCATCTCGCCATAATGATAATGGCCTCGGGGCACGGCTGTCAGCTTTAGGGGAAGATATTGCACCATGATATAAACAATAGCTCCAGACTTGGCAAGAAGAATCCTGAAGAGCTTCAGAGTCATGTTTTCACAGGCTGAATGCAAATCATTAAAACATTAAATGCCAGGCTTTGACACAGAATAGCTCCATTTCATCTTTACCATAAGCAAGGCAATGAATGCCGCTGATTGTCACACCTGCAACTCGATAGGTACGTGAGCCGGTGGTATAAATTATATAGACCAAGTCAAGCCAAGTCAACTCTCCTAACAGTAAGCTCATTCATTCTTGTCCTTTCAAGTTCAAGTACAAGGTAGACTAAGTATTAAAAGGGAACCACAGTGGTGTTGAGATGATGAATGCTTGATAATTACAGGTGAACCACAAGAATCGCAGCCAAAATAACACTGCAGAAGCATCTGAGCTCTTCGTCCCAGAGCAACTTTAACAGAATTAAGTTGCCCAAATCTTCAGTCGAGCAATAAAGAAGCAGTTGCTTAGATTTTCTGATCTCTAAATAATTTAACCTGTGCACAGTGGGGGGGAAAGCAACTTTTTAACAACAACAACAAAAAACTAACAAAAATCTTTTAGAACAAAGCTGATTAAAAATGAGAAACATTTATAAGATTTTTTTTTAACCCACAGTCATATAATCACTTACATTTCATATTGGTTCGGATCCAAGAGATAGGCAAACCAGCAGAAAAACGGAGGCAAATAAATAAATAAATAGAAAATTAATAAATAAATTGAACTCCGGAAACTGTCACGTGCTCCGGTTTCTTCTTGCTCACTCTTCTGTCAGAGTGAGGAGGAAAGTTGTCAGGACACACTGAATGAGAGAGCGCAGAGTGATGAGTGCGAGCACTCAGACGGCAAAGTCAGAAAGTTAAAGGTAAAAAAAAAAAGCGAATATCGTCAAACTTTCTTTTTTCAGTAAAGTTTGAGAGGAGCCCCTGCAGTCTTTATAGAGTGCTGAAGGCAGAGAAGCACTTTGGCAGTTTGGAGAGAGACAGAGAGAGAGGCTACAGAAATGCAGAGAGAGGGATGCGAGTGTGGTAAGTCCAATTTTTGCGCGCAGTGAAGTGTTTAGGCTTGTTTAAAACTTCCTTTATAAAGACGTCGGGCCTATGACACATCGGCAGTGACTCACTTCATTCATAAAAACACACACACACGCAGACACACGCTCTCTCTCCCTCTCCCTCCTCTCTCTCTCTCTCTCTCGCCCTCTCTCTCGCCCTCTCTCTCCCTTTCCTCCTCCCCTCCCTTCTGCCCTGTCTCCCTTTGCGAAACTTTAAAAAAATGTTCCGTTGTTTTTTTCCCCCTCTATCACTTTCTCTCTATCCTATCCTATCCTGTCCTGTCCCTATCTCCGGCACTTCCTCCGTCGCATCTCGCTACCTGCCCCAATCAGTCGCATCTACCTCTTTCTATCTTTCCATCGCCAAATCTCTTCCCCCCTAACTCTCTATCACTGCAGATGTTTTAAAAAGCCCATTGTTTTCATGTGTATCAGTATATCTTATGTAACCATGTATCTTTTCGAGCCTCTACACTCTAGTTTTACCTGTCCTATCTTTTTCTTGCGTGCTGGTGTGTTTTTGTGTTTTTTTTCCTGTTATACTTCAGGGGGAAATGTCACAGAAATTGTGCTCCTGCTTGTGGTTTAGGCTACACACGTCACATTCCCAGTACAGTATTATGGCTAATACCTTTTAGCAAACACCTTTTTCTCCTGTATTTCTTTTCCTCCTTTTTTTTTTACCCCTTGCTATTTTTTTCAGAGCCCCTCTTGAGACAGCAGCCTGTTATTTCCACTGCCCCCCCACCCCCTCTCTTTTTTTCACTTCTTCTCTCCCTCTCCAGGGTGAAGGAAAGAGTGAGAGACTACGGATAGGAGCAGGAGAGGTGCTGTCCAGACCAGAAGGGGCCTCTCAAAGTGTTGCATAGAAACAGTGAGCGGACACACGCCACAGGAGTGTCGAGGCGGTGGTGGGTTATTTGTGTTTGTGTTTGGGTCAACATCATATAGAGACAGATGCATGTGGATGTGTCACAGAAAGGAGGATTCAGCTCTAATAAACCAAAACAGTCTTTTTCTGGCACCAAAACGCACATGCTGATGCATGCAGAAACATCACAGACTCACTACTCCAACTTGTTTGTGTCTCTTTTTCGTACAAACACACACACACACACACACACACACACACACACACACACACACACACACACACACACACACACACACACACACACACAGAGCGGGGCAGCCTGGAAACACTCAGTCAGGTGCAGTAAAGCGTGGCCCACTGTTGCAAAAGGGCAAAAATGAGTTTCCAGTCATCACATTTGGGACAGCTAATGCATCATACTGTACACACACTGTAAAGTAAATCACAAGGGAATCTCACTCAGACATACACAAAGGGAGGAAAAAAGGGAGAACGTGAGAGAAGGAAGGAGAGACGGGAGAGAGAGCGGGGAAAAGGAAGAAAGCGTTTTTGAGTCTGGGTGTGAGATTAGGAGACCCTCATTCACAGACATACACTCATGGTGTGGTTAGAAAATAATTAGTGGTGGGCTTTGTATGCGCACACTTGCACACTCATGCACATATACACACAGAGTTGCCAGTCCAGCGGTGGGCCTACACAGACAAACAAACACCCTCCAAATGATGAGGGCCCGGTGGCAACGAGTGGGTGGCGGAGTTGTTGTGGTGAAAAAGGGTCATGCTCTGTTTTCTCAGGTCAACAGTAGAAAAAAAAAAGCAGGGAAAGGAGGAGAGCAGGGGGAAGGAGCAGAAGAAATAGATGAGTGCGGTTGGACGTAGGGAGATATTGACACACTCGCTCTTTTTAATTTCCCACATCAAAGGGACGTTTGAAGACACAGCTGGGGAGAGAAGAAAAGAAAGAGTGAAGTTAGTCACTCTCCCTCATTCCCTCTCCGGGCTGCCTCTTATGATGGGGGTCTCCTGGGTGGTTCTGAAGCACTGTTAGGCCATCCGCCAGCACTGATCACTCACACACTATGACACAGGGAGTGCGTCTGTGTGCGTTTGTGCACGTGGGAGTGTGCACACGTGCATCGATGTCAGTGTGCAAAGTTTAAAAAAAAAAGAAAAAGCTCTGTATCTTTGTTTAGACGTTTGCTTTTCGTGTGTGAGAGCGAGCACAGAGCGGCGCATGTTGGAAAAGGGGGAATCCAGGGTTTGTGTAAATGGGTGTGCATACAGTATATGTGTGTAATTATGGGTATGCGGTGGTACAAGTGCGGTGTCTGTATAACATGCATGAGCGTTTGCGTGCGCGTCTGTGCGTGAGAGTGTGTTTGTGTGTGGCCTTCATATGCTACCCATTACATCACCAATCTGTGTAAACCACCACAGGAGGAGAAACAGAGTGAGACACTCAGACTACGACCTCAAAGACATCAGAGAGGAAGGGGAACCTGTGACAGAGCCTGCCAGCCTGCCTCGCTGCCAGACAAACTTTACTCACACAAGCTTCTCTCACTTCGCCCGTACTTTACACTGGGTTTGCTGTGCGCCATGACATGTACTCGCACTTCTATGCTTTCTTCGAATCACTCGAATGCCTCGCTCACTTCTCTCACATTTTGCTTCGTTGTTAATCCACACAGCTGCTCAAATCATTAGTCATTTAAAAAAGAAAAAAAAAAAACTATCAAATTCAGGAGTGTGTGTATTTTTGTAACATCCTGCAATAAACTGACAGGGAAAAGCTTGAAGAGTAGATCTTGTAATGTGGGATTTTTTTGTTCAATGTTTACTTTAGTGTGCTTTGTGGTTGTACTTTGATTATGAGAACAAATACCAAATCAGCCCATTCTGTTAATGTTGGTTTTCTCATAAATGTTTATTGCCGTGGGTCAATATCCAGGTCCAGGTGGGTGAAAAAGTAGTCTTTGTGGATTTTAGGGTTACGTCTCATGTTCTGCTTGCCTCAGTGTAATAAGTAAACAGTGAAGACGCTGGCCGTGACGCAACTCTGCTTCGATGGTAAAAGGGATTATGGGAGAAGAAGTAGTAATAAATTCACCATTTTTATGTTGCACCCTCATTTCCTCTTGGGAATTCCAACGGGGCCTGAAAAAACAAACCAGGAGATTACGTTCAAAGGGGAAACCAAATGTCCGACCCATTACTGTTAATATTTATCCTCCTATAACAGTACGCTTTCAAGTTTCCCTGTGACCTCCTCAACCTCCTGTCTTCTTCCTCTTTCCTCTGCCATTCTGTCCTTCATTCATTTTCTCCAGCTTGCTCCCAGTTGGGGGACTCCAGCGGGGTATCCTATCCTACCTATCACTATCACTGCTCCATCCCGCTTCTTTCCTCCGCTTAACCCCTGTTACTGTACCTCAACCTACGTCAGAGAGCGAGTGAGTGTGCTAATAGTTCTGGGGGGAAAGAAGAAATAGTGACACACAGAAAGGGGGCTGCAGTCATTGGGCTATAAAGTGACGTCTCTGACTTTCTTTGTCCATGTCAAAGATCAGCTTTAATGTGCTCTTGCGCTTTTTTAAAAACAGCTATCAGACAGAAGGGGCTTCTTTCAAGTCCCCACATCTCTGTGCCACTGGCAAGCTCTTATTTGAGAAAACTCCCTGCAGACGCGATTTACAAATTACGCGTGTCAATTGCTCTCTTCCTTTTCCATTTGAGCAGCCCACTCAAGACAGATATGGCTGTTGTGCATCTACTGCTTTGCCTTTTTTATTCGCCCATTAAAGGAGCATATTAACCAGCATCATTATGGCAGGTTTCCTCCGCTGGCTTAGTTCACAGAGCCGTGCAAAAGGGCAGGATGCAGTGATGAAAGGGAGAGCATGAAGCAGACGTCTCTCCCTGGCAGAAAGTTGGGGAGCCAGAACGTTTAAATCAACTCTCTATTAAGCACACTTTTACAAGGGTCATTTTGTTTGGAAACCAAACTCTATGGTATGTGACAAAACACAGTGTATGTGTGTGTATGTGCATGTATGTGTAGCGGGCAGACTCAACCGAAACCCTCTCCCTCGCTGACTCTGTGTTGCTCACCTGCTCACGTTCACCACCTCCCCAGCTCTCTCTCACTGCTTCCAAGAATTTATGCGTCTGCCAGTGAGGAAATCGCGAGCTGAAGGAACAGGTCACAGAAGGAGTATGAGAAGGAGAAGACGAGGGGCGGGAGGGGTGGTGGGGTGTACAGCAGGAAGTAAGCAACCCACGCACAAGGAACTTTTTACTGTGCAAACACTCTTTCCATCTACCCTGCTTGCTTCCTTCATCTCAGACTGGTGTTAATACACTGGAGAGCCCAGGCCTGTCTCAGAGCTCCCGCTTTCTCCTCCGGTTCTCCCTCCCGCTCCTCTCACTCTCATTCTCAGTCGCCTTAAACATTCTTTCCTCTCCTGTCATGGTGTGTCCTGTCTGCGTCCCGCTCTCTCCTCATCTCTTCCTCCCCTCAAAGTGCTTCCCCTCAGCTCCCCCTCGCTTTCTCTTTCACTCACTCGCTACCTTCCCCTTCACCTCTGATCTCCCTGTTTTCTATGACAGTGCAGAGAAAGATCCGTGAAATAGTGCTCGAGCAAATTTTTATTCACCAGCCCGACATATCACTCCACCGCTGACTCCATGCAGAGGTTTGTTTGTTTTGTTTTTTTCAAGTAAAGGAATAAAAAGAGGGGAGTGAAAGTGAAGCTCCTATTTTTGGTGCATTCCTTGGTGCTTGCAGAGTAGTTACCCCAGAGACCTTACTTGTGCATTCGCTGTCTCTTTGTCAGGATTGCACCACTTCTGTGGTGAGTTACTACATCTATGTGAGATGTGTACTCAATCAAAGCTGACCACTACTTACCGGCGCGCAGTGCGTCTGCGTCAGTCACACATTCAGCCTGTTGTCGTGTTATTCTACCGAAGCTGAGAGCTGCTGACAAACACACAGGGGAAACTGGGAAGGGTGTAAGTGAATGTGCGGTGGTGGGGGAGCGGGGGGCAGCAGAGGTTGCTGAGACGATGGGGAAAGAGTGAGGGGCGCAAGC